TAGAAAAAAAAAGACAGCACCAAATATGTGTCTGCTCATGCACCTGGTTAGCACCTTCTTTAGTTGTGGAACCCTTAACAAAGCTTCTAAGTGTGGAACATTATGCAGATGTAAAGTTTTCTGTTTGGTCCATGCACCTCTCCATCATTGTCCCCCATACAAATTCCTCCATCCAATTTTCTTCTAGTGGAGAAAGGGAGGAACCCTTGCTTCCCCAGTACTAAGCTTCTAGGGAGGTCAGTATGGAGAGTTCCACACTGGGACAGTGTAATCCCAATGGTATGAGATTGAGTAAACTTGTGTGTTGATGGAAAGTAGGACTGATTTGTTCCTGAAAGTGTGATACAGGCCACTGTGTTATGAATCAAACTATTCCCAGTGGATGAGTTTTGTGTTCTCCTTGGGTAACAGGGCTAGGATTTTTCCCCCTGCACCTGATTATTGTGATAAGTGTGTAACAGGTGGTTGTTAGGCATAGTTATTTTGGTCAACTCTGTACAAGTTACAGATAAATTTATCACCACGTTATGCAGTCATGGATTAAGCTCATAAGCCACCAATTCGAGGAGTCTACATTCAGAATAAAGAAATTCACTTAGAGACTGATTATCACAACACAAAAATAGGTTTAACTCGCTTGTTATGAAGTCAGTCAAATTGACCAACTTTGTAACCATTTTGTACTTGTTATAGTTTCCATACTATAACTTTTAATATAGTGTGTGTATCTTCACAAAATTTGGCAGACTTTCAGTAAACATTGCAAGTCTTTTGCACACAAAAAAAATCAGATTTTTAATGAAGTATTTTTACTAAAGGTTTTTATGTGAATATACTTAGTCTTTATTTTGACTAGTCTGAGTGCAAAGGGATTTTCGTGTTAAGATTACTTAAGAAATACTTTTCTTGATCTCAAATATCTAAAATTTTATTTGTGGATCTCTAAAGTATCCTAAATAAATTTCAGATGTTCTTTTTTTCAGTAAAACTTTGTTTTATCTGTTATTTTCTCTACCCTAACTCTATATTTGATCAATCTCATAACCACACACAAAAAAAAATCAATCTAAATTTCCTTTTTTTTTAGAATGACTTCAAATTGTAACATGAAACTACATTTGTTTGTCCTAAATAGCTTTAAACTCTAACAGTAAACATCTGTATATGCTTACATTTTATTGTTTTGATTGCCCTTTGAACCATATCTAAATTAATATTCCCACCATAAAATTTGTAAATCAGTTGGCGAACATGGAGCTCATCTTAACCTATGGAATTACATAATGCACAGGCTACTTGCGAGCGTAACTCATGAAAATTATTTATTATTATTATTTTTTTTTTACCTGATCTAATTTCTAAAAGTTTCTAATATTTATATTGTAGTTACTTTTATAATAGTAAAGAAGGAATACACACTAAAACCAGGAAATTAATTACTTACCTGGGTCTTCTTTTTTTTATGCCTTTGACTTTTGATGACACTTAACCCTTCCTTTTTATACTAATGGTACTGCTGCACTAAATAACTTTTTACTTAATTAAATAATGCACCAATGAACACAGAGTAATAACATGCAAAAAACGTACAATGTCCCATAACTATTACAATTTTTCTGGTTTTCTAATCATTCAACAAGAGCCGTTATAAATTCATCTGACCTCATTTATGTGTTTCCTGTGGGAAAAAAGATTGAATTAAAAGTGAAATTGACAATTCTCTTTACAAAAAACAATGTTATGTAACATGTAATTTGATAGATTAAAACTTTGGCTTTCTATTGGTTATAAATAATATAGTATTACAAGTCAGAGAGAATTATTGGCAATTATTTAAAAGAGATCATGTTACAGGTGGGCATGGCAAGAGGGGTCTGATTTTCTATTTGATGTCTCTGTTACCAAATAAAATTGAATACTATGAAAATTATGTTTTGCATGAGTGATGAAAACATTATAATGAGTAATTTGTATTAAATTTCATTCCTCTTGGAGGGGGTGGTAAATACTTAGAGGAAAAATGTCACATTTCTCTTCCTGGGAGAAATTGACTAATTTTTTTAATATTGCCATATAAAACTGAGAACTTAAAACTTATATACTATGAAAATATGGATTATTAGCTACCTATTTATGCAAATTTATTCATATACCATGATAAGAAAGTAGTTTAATTAACTTTTGAATGTAACTCACTAAAGCCTCATGGCACGTGCAGAAAAAGATGCCCGTGGTCGAGAAGGTTAATTCAATATATTTAAGTATTCACATAGATTGAAAGTCCCAAACTATTTTGAATAGCAAGATGCTTGTTAGTCATATCTTCTATAAGATTCATCAACATTGCAACTACAGTAAATAGATTATCAACCAAATTAATACGGGATATTCTTTGAGACATAGTTATGCTTATGCAAGTCCATTAACATTTCTTTCTAATATGTCTCTTAATAACGCTGTTACTTTTTCTATTAGCTTAGTCAAATCTTCAACAGAATTAACTCTTAATACTGTTCTTTCTTTAGTCATGATACATCACTTGTTAGATATGTTGTTAGACTAGATAGATATAGATAATGGAAATTTGTATAGTGAATGTTTTTGAAGCTTTGGAGTATGGATATTCTGGAATCTGAAGCATAGCAGGATACCTGGACAGGTCAGGAACTGTCAAGAAGTTGCTTCCAGGACCAGAATGGTGGCATTTTTTACTACTTAATTAGTATAATTTTGGTTCAGCAGGAAGTTTGAATTGCTAAATTCTGCACATGATCCTTTTGACCCGATTGGTACTTTTGTGGTCTTCTATCAAACCAAAACTGAAACTGCTTGTTGAATGGTTTGTAATGGAACTCTTTCTTGTCAATCAATCGTTAATATGGGCATAGATATCCAAACTCACTAACTCAGAATGTATGGATACAAACTGATTAACTTTGGTCTTTTTACATATATTCTTTCATTTGTTACTTCCTATCAAAGTTCTAGTACTTCATTTCTTATAAGGCTATTTCCTGTAGCTATGGTACCTTATATCATAAACATTTGTTGATTTCTCTAATGGAATTGGGTCTGTTTAGCACTGACAACAACAATTGATAGTTTCTACTTTAAACTTCTGTTATCACTTGCCATTATATTTATGTTTTTTATTCTTGTATATATGAAAATTCTATTTTCAAACCTTAAGTATTTCTTCAGTATGAAATGGCCTGACTTATTACTCTAGCCACATTCATGCTCAGCCAACTGCCTGTGAGATAGTAGCCTGTTCAACAATCTGACATTCTGCCCACCTTTGCAACACTTTAACACCAAGCAAACAATATATTTTGCTCTGTCACATCTCTTGAGTGAAAAGTTTTCCCTGCTTGAGAGTGATTGATGACCCACTAGACTACACCCTTCTCATACTCATACACATTTGCAGTTGACATGCATCATGTACTTTCTCTTTTTGATGCTATGTTTCCAGAAAGGAGATCATCTTTGTAATTTCTTCATCTGCATTGGACCCTTCCACCATCTTCAGTGCAGGATTGTAGCTATTCTCTGTAGAGAGTTGCGAATAACATTTCTTAAGTTAGCATTTTCCTTACCTGAAAATGTATTTCATATAAGTACTCACCACTCTGCACCACCTCCCCACTTCCAATGTATTTGTAGTCTAATGATGATTACATCATAGGCTGGTTCAATACACATTAGTGTGTAGGAGTAGGAGCTTTGTTCAGGGCTTGTGGCACATGCTAAAAAATCTTCATACAGTGCATGTAGTAATAGCTATTCATTTATTATGCAGAGGTTATTATCAATCTGAAATACATTTTAAGGTAAGGAAAATGTTGATTTTCATGACATTAATCAATTTAATCTTTATTTTGATTAATCAGTTATTTTACATGTTGCTAATATATGTAATTGATGCTCATAGGTAATCAGTTATATCCATGTAATTGCCCAGCCCTAATTAAAAGTTTAATTGTCTCAGAAAATAAATAAATAAATTATGTTATCTTGTTTATTTTCTTCCAGCCCTGCTGATTGATAGTTGATTTCTTTCTTGTCTAAAATTCTACCTTACATTGAAGTAAACTGGTATAAAGTTTTATGTTTTGAACTTACAAGCTTTTAATGATTTGCATTATCTGATTTACTACTTTGATATCTTCTTTCAGTACTTGATACAGAAACATGGTTTTGTATTTTGTTGAACTTATTTAAAGCATACTTTGTAGAACATGATAAAGGGCTGGAAGTGGCCTAGGGATTAGCTTGTCAGATATTGGATTGAAAATTCCAAGATTTGAGACATGATACTGTTGAATACATTTAGAATTTCCAGCTAAGGCCATGTTATAAAGTTGACATTTAAACCTGTTATACATCTCAATGTGTTGGATGAAGCCCTTGTGGTGGTGGTGGCTGACTTCACTCTTGTCAGTGGTCTCTGACGTAGTCATTTAACTCAACTGCACATGAGATTGAAAATTCTAATTCAAAACAAAATATAAATATGATTTTAGACATTTTACCAAGTTGAACTGATATAAATATCACTGGACACTTAATAGTATTGTAATTAGGCAAAAAAAAAAATTAAACTTTTTACACTATTTCAGACATAATTTAAAGGTATGCAACATTTATATTATAAAATATTTTTTGAGAAATTACTTCAAAATGAATTTTAAACTGGTTGGAAAATAATTAGTACCAAGATTTATCAGAGTTAGTTGTGTTTTTATGGATTTTACTTGCAAGATGCCAGCTAATTTTAATTGTTCCCAGGAAACCATTAGCAGGGAAAAAAATTAACTATAAAAGGATTTATAGATAATCGACAAGTTTAAGGTTGTAACTTCTTAGTACATGTAATGAACAATATAGAATTTACTTCTGAACAAAGTTTACTTGGAGGAAAACAAAAGTACATTCTATAGATTAGCCACTGTCTACACAGGCTTGGAAAGATAATGGTACTTTTTTTTTCTTTCTAGATTCCTCACATTCTAAGAAAAAGAAAATGAGAAATAAAAACAAAAGCCCATTCGATGGAGTTCTTGTATCTCAGCTGTTGGCTCAGAGAGATAAATTAGGCTTGCGAAAAGAAAAGAGAAATCATAATTTGATTTTTGGTACAATTGCTGTTGAAAAGAACCTTTGTTCACTTTCATCATTTAGTAATAGTACTGCAAGCGGTCAAGCAGGTAGCCTGTTGCCAATGCAGTTTCTTAGTGAAGACAGAAGTAATTTGCAGCAGATCAGCACATCACAAGATTTACTTCTGGTTGATAGATCTGTTCATAATCACAACATCAGAGTTTGCCCAAATAACAGTCAGCATTTGCACAACAAAACTGAATGTGAAGCTCTTATGTGCACAACAACCACATCTTGTTCAACTGCATCTCCTACCTTAAGTAGTACTTCAAATTTAGGTCATTATGGAATTCAGTTAAATACAAATTCTAATGTGAAAAGTGTTTTTCAAACAGTAGAATCTGGTGAAAAAAGGTATATTTCTTTAGAAGCACCACGAGTAGGTCATGTATCCATGCCTCTCCCTGTGAGTCATTATATGCAGTCAGGGCAGCCATACATACCAGTACAGCAAAATATGCATACTTCAGGAATTAAAACTGCAGAAAATTCTCATGTAGCCATATCTCAATCAGTTGGAGGTAATGGCCTCCATTCTCAACTTAAAATTAACCAGTGCATTGGTTTAAATGAACAGCTAAATTCTTGTACAATGCCCTCTGGACTATGCCCAGAACATCCTGGAACATCTGTGATGCAATCATCTGGTCCAATACAAGAAGAATTAAATACAAGTAAAAGCAGTAGTGGAGTTCCTACACCAACCACACAGAAACTTGCTTCAACCTTTTTTACTCATTCTGTTACAGAACAGCCAAGCAGTACTCAGATTGGAGATAATAACTTGGGCCCTGCTGGTCGACAGAAATTTAAAAAGCCTTCAAAAATAAATAACAGTGTGCGACTTTTTGATAGTTTATCTCCATGCCCAAATGTAGATGTAAGACAGATTCCCTCTGAACATTATCGACCTCCAGTTTGTACACTAGCCAGTCAAACAGTGTCAAACAGGAGTACAAGTACTCCACTTGTAGCTATATCTAGTGATCATCTTACTCCTGCACAAGCCTGTCAATCCATTATGCATCCACAGGGTTCCTCTGTAAGGTGGTCAATCTCTTCCAGTAGTCAGAATGAAAATGTAGATGTAGTTGTTTGTAGTCTACCATCTCATAGTTTATCTGGTACAGTTATTCCATCTTCTAGACCAGAAGAGCTTTGTGCAATCACACCATCAACTTTAAATGATGTGTTTAATGCTAGTAATATAAATTGTACTTCAAATTGTTCCAAAATATCTGTTTCAGTTGATGGAGGACTATCACTACAAAAAAGGAATTCATTTCCCTTTAATGATTCACAATCATCTAGTGTAAATGCCAATGGGATGTTTAAAAGAAATTCAGAACAATTTATAAGTTCTTTAAATCAAGTGCAAGATAACAGTGAGGTAAATTCTGGTTCAGGCTTTGATGTTACCTCTCCAGTAAAAGTGAGTTCTCAGAGTTTTTTATCTAGTGTTGGATCAAGCACTGGGATAACAAACTTTAATGGGCCTTACCCGGGTTTGATGGTGCCTAATCTCACTAATAACCATTTTTCTGCTAATCCACATGCTGAAGGAAGTGTTCCAACACCATCAAGCATCCAAGCTTCTCCTTCGGTATTGAACATTCAGGTTACACCCCAGACAAATCAGATTTCACCACTTCAGGTCATTCAACATGTTGGGATGATTGGCTCTCAGCAGTTGCGACCTAGTGTTATACAGCCACAAACAATTAGCTCAGATCGAATAGAAAATACAGTGAATGACAGTGTTCCTTCTGTTGACAACATAACTTCATCTTTTGTTCAGTTTCCTGGTACAGCTGGGACTGTTCGTTCCCCTTTATGGCAGAATAATAGCTCTTCTGGTATTTTAGTACAGAATGTGTTCAGCCAGCGTGTATACACTGAATATACACCAAATACAGTTTTCCCAACTGTTTCAAGGACCCAGTTTGCACAACAGGTAAATGGAATGGTATTACCTACAGGATTTCAGGGAATATCAAATTCTCAGCAAATTTTAATGACCCCATATGGTATACGGGTACCAGTTGGTGGACCACCTTTAAATACCATATCCACTCCAGTTGGAGAAGTCCATCCATTTGGAACAGCCTCTGTATTTGGTCCAACCCAGCAGCTAACTCAACCATTGTTAATACCTGATGGAATGAGACCAAATGTTTTACAATCTCTGCAGCTTGTTCAGAATGGTTGTTTTATAATTGGTTCATCTCAACCAAGTTTTACATTAAGAAACCATCATCTGTCAAATCATAACATACCTTTGAGTACAGGAGAGGGCCCTTTACAATGTGCTAACATCTCTATAACAGTTCAGAGTGGAAGTTCAGGAGCTTTTATTTCTTCTCAACCACAGACAAGAGTTGCAGCTATATCTTTAGCAGCTTCTAGTACTCCAAAGAATACAAGTGCTTTGCAGTCTTTTGAGCAACCACTTTGTGGAATACAACAGCAAAATATACAACAGCTTACAACTTTAGGAGGTGAAGAAGCAAATAACTGTGCACAGATTTCTGACACTGTTGTTGGTGAGTATGTTTCTTTAGGAAAGCAGGTCACAGCTTCAAGTGCATGTTCCAGGGGTGCACTAATAAGTGCCAACACTTTATCAGATGGCAGTGTTTTGCATTATACAGCTTCTCATAACCGTCCATCTATTTCAGTTTGCAGTTCTCCTCATAATCAACCATTTAAAAACACAAGTAATATGCCCTTGTCAGGGCAAGTTAGATTATATAATCCTATGCCCCCTCTTTCTGTACCTAATGTGACAACAGTAACTACCACTATGACCCAGGTCATACCTGCTGTAGGAATGGTACCTCAAGTATTTGGTCAACCAACACAGCCTATGATGCAGGTTTTTAATTTGTTGTCTGTTCCATCTATGCAAAATACAGTTCTTATTCCTCATGGCCAGAACTTCATCTCTGGTCCTGTACGAATTGAACAGCCTCATCATTCTCCAATAATTGGTACTCCAACAGAACCAACAAGTATTTCATTATTGGGAAGGTCCAATGGTGGATTAACTCCTACACCAGTAACTTTATCTAGCCCCACACATTTCATTACAGTACCAGCTCAACAGGATGAAAATAAAGGAAGGGCAGAACTTTATTCGATGTCACTATCTCGACCTAGTTCAACCTGTAGTACACCTTTGTCCAATAATGGTTCCATATCAGGTGGGCAGAGTGATGATTCACCTAATTGTCTTCAAACATCAAATAGAAAGAAATCAAAAGATGGAAAAAAAAAGACAGGAAGTCAGACAGTAGCTTCCATGTTACAAAGTGGAACTCAGAACTCTAATGTAGTGTTTCCAAGCATTTCTATTACACCTCAACAGCAGACCCAGCAAGCTCCTGTTCTACAGGCTTTTACTGTTTTGCCTCAATCTTCAGCACAGCAGTCAAGGCATCTAATTCAGCAACAGCAAAATGTTATAAGTTACAATGGCATGAATCCAGTTGTGCAACAACAAATGTTATCATCAGGGCTCGCAAATCAAATAAATCTTCAACCATTTGGTATGATTGGGCTCCCATCAGGTGGTGGAGCCAATGTGATGCAAGATATACCTTTGCAACATTTTGTTTCTGGACCTCCTTTCCAGTCAGTTGCATTGGTACAGAGTCCTCAAAACATCAATTCCTTTTCTCAAGAGCCATCTGTTTTAGTACAGGGTCCTTCAAATTTTGGGATTCAGTCTAACCCAGTTCAATGTGCCTTTCCTGGTGGTTCCTTTGTTTCTAATGTGATTCAACCCAGTTCACATGTTCCTGGAACAGAAATGATCTTGAGTCCCCACATTCAAGACCATTCAGCTGTAGGAGGTATTCCTCGGGCTATAGTGCATCCCCAGGGATCCACCTCAGTGGTCACTCATGTAGTGTCTGCCTTTGCTGATACACCCTTATCATCCACATCAACAACAACAACTCAGTTAACCAATACTGATACTAGATTAAACAATCAGATTTCTTTAAGTGGTGGACATACAACTCCTGTAACTGCCCCCGAAGAAATATCTTCTGAACCGTTGAAATATACAATGAATAAACTCAGTGATCTTCCACAATCATCTAGAGCCAGGAGTGTTGGGGTACAAAGTGGAGAGATAGAACATAATGCTGCTGTGCAGACAGTCAGTTCATTGGATTCCATGGCAAACCCGGTGAATGAGCTTTCTCCGTCAAAAAAAATCAATACAGTTTTTCTTAAACAGAATGTAGACATTGTTAATCATTCATTAAAGGATTATGCCCAAAAAGAAGAAGTTTTGTTTCCATCTTGCGAAGAAGAACCGAATGAGACTTTGTGGCCAGACCCTGTGAATTTGTCAGCTGCAGTGAGAGCAGTCATGCAAGAAGGTACAAGCAATGTTAGAGACTGTCCAGTGCCTAATGTTCCCGGTGAATCATTTAGCAAGGAAGAAAACTTAAGACATACTGATGTACATTTGCAACTTCCAGCAAAAGGCAGTGGACCATTTTTTTCTGTCCAGGATTGTGAAAGTTCACAAATTCAGCAACAGACAGTGTCTGAGGTGAATTTAGCTCTTGATTTAAGTAGGACATGGACATACACAAAACAGTTTGTGCAAGAAAATGATCATAGTTTCATAGAAAATGAAGAAAATAGTAAGAGTCCTCCTGAAAAATGTGGATTAAGTGAACCAAGTGATTGTGTAAATAACCTTCAATCCAAATGGGATACTTGTCCATTACAAACTTTGCCATTGGACCAACCTGACAATGCAGCTGAAAATCCCTCCTCTGCTTCTTCAGATACCTCTGAACAATCGTTAACGAGTGCTGATAACCATTCAACAAGTGATTCAGGAGTAGAGTCCAGTCAGGAGCCAATGAATCTTGTTTGTAGCCGAGATGAGAGAGAAGAAGAAAGCAGAATGTGCTTAGAAACCAGAGATGGAACATTGGAGTCCTCAGCCAACACAAAGATTTTGGAAGAAACTACAAATGCTATTGTTTCTATCACCCGAACAGTAGTGAATCAGAACTTTGAGACAGAGACGTGTAAAGCTGAAAGGTGGTCTGGAGTAAAGAGGAGAAGAAGGGAAATGCTTTCTATCTCACAAGAAGAAGTACAAAACTCTGATGGTAACTAAAAAAGAACTTTTCAGTTTTTGTTAGTTAAACCAAAATTTAAGGTCATTTGTAGTAGTACATGCAATGCATTTTTTGTTTTATCAAGTACAACCGTGTTTCTCCAACAATATATAATAGAATAAATTATATATGTATATATTTATAATTCTTATTACAGTAATTATTTGTATACATTATTTGTAATACAAAAGAATGTATCTTAAATATGTCAGTGAATTGCATGAATGTGTAATTGATATTTGCGCATACATTTAACTCCCGCTTCATCTTGCAATACTTTTATATATATATATATATATATATATATATATATCTGTTTGTTATGTATCATACGTCTTAGACAGATACATGTAATGAATTGCATTTGACCCACTATATAGTAAAATTTCAAACCATTATTTTGTTCCAAGTTGTTGTTTCTCATTTTATATTAGAAGAAACAATGAACAATATAAAATAATCCAGTTTGACCAGCTACTAGATATTTAGCCAGTTGGTCCTTTTTAAATGTTTATAGTCAAATATTTCTGTTAATACCATAGTACTAAAGTATTTAATTTAAAAGCATGATCTAATATTGTATTATTAACAATATTTATAAAGTTGGGAAGATAGTCATTCATATTCTCAACATTGTGTGAGATTTATCATTCTAATGTTATAACCACAGATTATGATGGATAATACTAAAAGCAGATATTGAAATCTTTTTTAAAATATTTCTAAGCTAATATAAGAGAGATTAAAAGAAAACAGATAATCAAAATGAATGTTTGGTTTTAGTGCATTTGTTGATAGGTTTTCTTTTCATAGTTTAAACTTTGTTATCAAACTTAAAGATTTAACATATGACACTAAAATATTAACAAGTTTCATTTGATACTTTTTTCCCTCAGGCGTAATAAAATAAACTCAGACATGAGTATCTAATGAGTGAAAAAATAAGCATCAGAGTAATACTTATGATGCTGTTCAAAAGAAATTATTGCTTCAGAAATTATTGATTAGTGTTAATCACATAAACACTAAATCTTGCAAAATGTATGAAGAGTGTATTGAAAAACTGCAGTCTAGTTTCTTGAACAACTAAAGTATTACTCTCTTTAAAGGAGAATTTGTGATTTTGGATAATGAAGTTTTAATTAGACTGATGATGTTGTTTATGAGCAAGAAGTAATGCGTCTCATATATATTTCTAGATGAAAATCCAGATTCTCCTCCACTCCCTCCCCAACCACGAACATTTAATATAGGAGATCTGGTGTGGGGACACATAAGAGGATTTCCCTCCTGGCCAGGAAAACTTGTTCATGAAGAAGAAGTAAGAGGTAGTAATAGCCAGTGGGAAGAAGGAAAGGTAATAAATGCATTCTTTGTTTTTGAAATGTATGTTCTTAAACAGGATTTTAAGAAATATGATGTACAGTAGATTTTGCACTTATTTCTGGTCTGGCAATATAGTTCTGTGAAATAGAGGAAGATAGAACAAAAATTTTATATAAAAGGCAAAATTCTACCATAAAATTTTATAATTTATTACTTTAAACTTTTGTTCATTATTCAAAAGTGTAAAGAATGTAATGGTGTGTGTTTTGCTTGGGACTAGGTATTTTGTTTCTTCTTTACCATTTTCACACCTCTTATACTGTCTTTTATTGCATGAAATAAATATTTTAATTTCCCTACAAAAATATTAGTTACTAAAAACTTCTTATCCAAAATAATGAAATTCTTAAAATTGTGTTTATATTATTCCAAACTTACCAATAAGTTGTGTAGTGTGGACCATTATTCGAAATTATGTAGGTATTTTTAAACAATGTTTAATTTTTCTACTCTTTCTTAAAAAAAGAAAATGATAATGTAAAGTGTAGTGATTCATTCTGGCATTTGAACACACATATTCTCCTTTATATAAATACACTTCCATGAATCATGTAAATCATGGCAACTTATAAAACTAAAAATAAAAGTGATAATTATAAGTGCAGTTGTGAAAATGATACACAGAAATATGCTACATTTAGTATATATTGACTCACCCAACTCCTATGGTATTGAAAAAAAATATTTTATTTTCCTTCCATTTTGATTTTGCTTGAAGCTTTCAATATTTTTAACATTTACATACACTGGCACACATGTTTTTGTATAACATGCAGATAACTGACTTTAAACTGTGTTGTCCTTGTTTTTGAACCACTCATACATTGTCATAGGTAATTTCTTTCGGTATTTCTAGATCTTCCTCTAGTTGTGGTGCTAGAGAATTCCTTTAGGCTTGCACTAAAGGGTTCTTGATAAACATTGGTCAGGCACTGCTTGTCTTCCATTTTTTCTTAACCCTTTATGATTTTTACCTGTATATTTACACATGCTAGACATCATCTTCACCCATACATTTACGCCAGTTATGGTAATGGGAAAAACATTTTCCTCGGATGATATAGGGTTAATGGAAGTAACTAGGTGACAAATGCATTTTGTGAAAGTTGACCCTATCCAGATTTGTATACAGTGATTAACTCTCAGTTTTTCAAGTTAGTCATCTCTGAAATACTTGTAGATTCAGATTAGAGAGTGTATTTATCTTTCATTTCGTGTAAAGCATTAATTGAATAAGACAAACCCACATGCCAGGCCCTCCTATCACAATCTGTCTTTCAAAAAATGTCAGTTATTTTCTCTTACATTTGATATTGGATTATTTATAACTAACAGAAAGAGAATATTTTAATTTACTGAATTCCCTATAAGGTTACCTCATTCTGACAATACTTTTTGAATTACTTGGTCAGATAAAAGTATTAAGATATTGCATTTCTTTGTGTTCTAACTTGCATATTTGAAATAAGTAAAAATGACATAAAGAAATACCAACAACCCTATCAAAAAGTAGGGTTAACTTTCGTTAAGACTTCTAGAGCAAAAACTTGTAAAAGTAGAAGACCCATACGTAAGTACTAAATTTCTTGTTTTTTTTATGTATTGCTATAAAAGTAACTAAAATTACTTATTAGGTTGGATAAGAAAACTTAAATGAGAAAAACTAAATAACACGTACACAATGTGAGCACAGCATAATTGAAATTTGACCTAGTGTGCTGGTAACTCGATCCTTTGCACAAATCTGCTTTGCTGTGACAAATTGCTTTCACTATACTTTAAGTGCTGTTATAAAGCAATAAATCTAAATGACTAGGAGATTTCAAATGTATTAGATTTGGCTGTAAGAATATATATATAATATGTGATTTTCTGTTACAATCTGCAGTTATTCTACAAAAAGAAGGGTAATTTAAATTTACTTTGTGTCTTTTCTTTATGTAGTAGTTACAAGGCTGGCCAAATGGATTGAGCTCATATACAGTTTTAGGGGAGTGAAAATAACAGATAAAACATAAAATTTCGATTATGTTTTGATAATCATTTTATAGGTTCTAGAGGTATGCAAATGATATATGAAAACTGCAACATGAAAAAGTATGTTTATCCTAAACATGAAAATCACCTTGTACTCGAACTGACTCAGTAAAGGCTTTGTGAATTCACATAAAAATCTTTAGTAAAAGTATTTAATTAAAAAAAAAAAAATTTTTTTTGTATACAACTAATTTCATGAAATTTCAATAATTTCAATCAGTAAATTCAGAGTTATAGTATGTATAGTTTCATGGCTACTTGATAGTTATTAGATTTGTCAAATTACTAAGCCTTTATTCAGAAGGTCAAGGAAAATTTTGACTCTGTGAGTTATCTGCAAAAAATTCTTTGAGATATCAGATAGTATTAAAAAACCAGCTGAGATTGTTTGTTACTAATAATACTCTAATTGCAAGTACAGTAGATCACAAAGATGGTTGGTTCTGCTAAAAGCCCTAAATCCTTGACCTTATTACATTATGGCTGTTAAGCATTTTTGAAAATATTCTATTAAGAAATTGTCTTGTGTTCCTTTTAACAGTTCCTAAATGAGGAATCAGTTGGGCTTTTTTGGGTGGGGATCTTAGTTTTCATAGTAACTTGCTCTTGCACTGTTTGAAAGAACTTTGTTGAGTTAAGTTGAAACAAAAGAAAATTTTTAGTACATTGCTTTAATGCAACACTTGTAATTGAAAATGAAGTGATATTTTTACTCTGGAGACCAATATATCTCAGAACCATTATATTGGTTCATGGTTTATAAGATATACAGAATAATAAAAGCTTTTCTCCATATAAAAGGCATCACACAGTATAGTCATTTATCTTGTAAAATTTAAAAACTTCACTAGATGTTGTGCACTTAACAGTGTAAGGTACATGCAAGGTGGCATGTACAATTGGCACAACATTGTTGGGGCATTCTGAAAGCTGCACGATACACGGAGGATGATGTGCAGTGGGTTGAGGTACAAAGAGACTAAATGTCTGCATATCCTCAATACTTATTCTTTTTTTTTAATTTCAAAGTTTACATTTGAGAATTGCATTGAGCTAATTTTGCTGTGTGGAAAAATGAACATAACAGTTGTATAACATCTACAGCTTCTGCTAGCAATAATCATGGCAGAGGCATGTTTGTAAGACCAACATTAACTAGATCAGTGGAATGATTTCTTCAGACTAGAAGCATTGCAGTTGACATTAATTAACAACCCTTTGGTGGCCAAGTGATGCATCACAGAGTATCTGTTGTGGACATGTTTTCTTGGGATATGCTCTTCCATGCGTCCGCCTCCAGTTTTTGAGATGCTTCACCAGTGTTGCATGAATTATGAATATATAAAATGTGGAACAGTGTTGTTCATCATGAAAATATCTGTAATCCTCCAACTATCTATTGCAGGTATAAAAGCCTTACGTTTGTCTTCACTAATACTGGTATCACATTTTTGTGTGAACAGTTAAGCAATCAACTATTTTGTTAAACTCAATTCACATGCATTAACCTCAAGTTATAATTAAAATAATTTTGATTGTTTTTTATAACCAGGTCTGGGTAAAGTGGTTTGGTGATCACACATTCACACAAGTGGAACCAGAAAAGTTGAAGACATTATCAGAAGGGTTAGAAGCACATCACAGAGCCAGAAAGAAATACAGAAGGTTAGCACATATAGTTAATCTAAAATCTTGTATTATAATGCTCATTTTGTATTGTAGTAAAAGTCTTGTACAAATGAGCTCCCTTTCTAACAATTAATGGCTTTGTGTTAAAGTGTGGTTTTGATTAATTGTACATAAAGTATAAGGCTATGAATAAAAGGTAATAATAGCTAAAGTTGTAAAAATATTTTTAGAGTTGAGTTTTTAATTTTTGATACTGTTATTTAATAACAGTGTTAATGAGCAAAGCAACCTGTAGTTTGCAATATTATCCCAGTTGTGATTCCTTCTCTTCTGTCTATGATAACAGTAATAACTCAATATTATCCCAGTTGTGATTCCTTCTTTTCTGTCTGCGATAGCAGTAATAACTCAATATTATCCCAGTTGTGATTCCTTCTTTTCTGTCTGTGATAGCAGTAATAACTCAGTATTATCTCAGTTGTGATTCCTTCTCTTCTGTCTATGATAACAGTAATAACTCAATATTATCCCAGTTGTGATTCCTTCTCTTCTGTCTGTGATAACAGTAATAACTAAATTTTTTGACTTTTTACAGACTCTTTTGTTTTGTACATTTTGAAGTTAATAAATATGAATACATTATTTCTTCTGAGAGGACATCATTGTTGTTATTGGCAATTTATTTTTTTCAGTGATATTCATTACAACCCACATGATTTATTATATAGAAAGAAATACTGCTGTGTTATATTTGATATTAGCTTGTCTTAATTTATCTTTTAAAGTGGGCAATTTTTTTTCTTCATGGATTATCAACTCTTTCACCCCCATAGTCTTGAGGACAAAGCTGCACCATTAGGTTAAAAACATCATAGAAAATAAACTTGTGGCCATTTTACTTATACATTGAAAAAATACTTCGGAGTGGAAATTTATTCAGTAAAAAAAAATTGTATTTATTTAATTTTATACATAAAAAATTTGAAAGTTTGATTTTAGCTTTTTCCCAATGAAATTATTAGTGTTGTAGAGTTTCATGAATTTTTTCCTGAACATGATATGGCACTTGTAGCACCTTAGTGGCAAATTCATAATAGTTTTGAACAAAATTTTAATAATTTATCCTTGTATATGAGTGTTGTTTAATGATTTTTAGCCAATCCCTTTTTTTCAACTTGGTTTTTTGTGATGTGATGCTTCACCTACATCTCAGCTTTACGAAGTCATATGCTACGGATCCAAATATTTCATGAGAGCTCTTTTTCCATTCTTTTCAACTGTGAAAGCTGATAATGCTTCTAGTTCAACAGAGATTCACGTAGAGATCAGAACATTGTGATAAAAGCTTAGCTTGGTGATATGTTGCTAGGAGAAAAGGTGTTTGTGAACAACTTCCATTACATTTTCAGACCTGGTGGTTTTGTTTCTTTTACAATTTGCAATAAGCTCATTTTATCACATTATATTTATTTAATTTGTATTATGATGTCTAAGTATGATAGGACAAGAGATTGTTTTTTGTGGAACAAGATTAGTTAGGCTTATTTAAACAATTTTACAATCAACTATATCAATTTTCATTTTGCCAACAAGACTACCATGTTAAGTATTGTGTGCATTAGGCCTTGTCAACTTAAGTAACTGCTTGAATGGGCAAAGAAAATCACTGATAATAAGTGTAAATATATATATATATGTAAATGAACATTAAATGGCTTTAAAACTTATTAAATATACTAAATAACCTGATTAATAATTTTAAAAAGTTGGCTTCTTTATAATATTGGTATGGTAAAAATATTTTTTTTATTGTATGCTGATAATCATAAGCACAGTGAAACTGCAAGAATTGTTTTGTGAATCAAAACTATAATAAAATTTAAATGTTGTGAAATAAAAACTTTATAGGAAAGTTTTAAAAGAACGTAGGAAAACGTAAAAAAACATAAATGGAAATCTATAACAAAGGTAAGTATTGGCAAAATTTTGAAGCTGCAAATTCATATAAATATCACATGTAGAAAAACTTGAGGATCTCAGATTCACCATTGCACCTTAACCTTAACTTGCTATTAAGGCTGTGTGCCACTGTCATTACTTTTGAACTATTGCCTGGAGGGAAGTCAACTGTCTGGAAGTACCCATTGGCCACTTCCAACTTTTGTCTTTGAACTAGAGGGAAGACAACAAGCTGGCAGCACCTACCATCAATCTTTTCTTCTTCTTTTTCTACTTTCTTGTTTTGACCATCACTGTACTAATCAATTAATTGATTACCAAATAGCACTAATTACCCAGCCTTCCCAATAGGTCAATTGAATAAATGAAGAGGGAATAATTACTAAAAGGGATGATGTTAGGTCATTTTAGTTAGGGAATTGTTTTTCTTATTACTGGAAACCTAATATATATTGATTGTGTTATAGTGTATATATTTAACAGCATGTTTTGATCACCATGTTTTCTGTGGTGTTTAATAAAGTATATATATATTTGTACTTGTTTGTTTGTTTTTCTTTTTTTAAAAATGGATAATGTGGTATTTTCATTATAACTATTGTTTGTTTTCTAAAAAATTATGTCACTTGATTAGGGGAAGAAAAATGAATTCAAACCTGGAAAATGCCATTCAAGAAGCCATGCTGGAATTAGATAGACCCACCTCTGCTTCAGGAGGTGGAAGTGCTGCAGGTGGTATTCAACAAACTATGACTGTGTCCTGTTCTAAACCAGGAAAATCACGTGGCTCTAAACATAGAAGGACAAAATAATATATATATATATATATATATATATATATATATATATATATATATAATAATATATAATATAAACTATTCGT